TCTACAGTTGTAAAAACTAATTTACGTGGCAAAGGGGCCAATATTCTGGGCCTCACTAGTTCGTGTCAAATCCCAAACAGGGAAAATTGACGAAGTTTAGAAGGAGCGAGTGAAATTGCCGATTATGAAATGCATGATGAGTGACTGAAGGGAGTGCCTAAGGGAGGCAGCGGATAAGTGAGGGAAGTGCAAGAAGGGTTCTGGCTGGAGGGATAGAGACAGGCCAGCAGGGATGATAGGTGTGTGGCGTAAGCGTGTGTTAGCAGCGCGGATGGATGGGGAGAGTTGGGGAGGTTGGGTGGCAATCATCGTTTCTGGACATCGGTGACAGTCTGCCCAAGGCACCAGCACCTATTTCTCACCTAAATCCTAGCATCCAGACACAAATATCCAATTTTACATCTGACCTGCTCATGCTTTTCGAATTTGTCAAATATGTTCCCTTTAACCAACCCAAACTCTTGCATTACCTGCCCTTCTAAACATTTCACTCTCTATTAAACTCCAGGAGCGGGATATATTTCCCTAGGACAAAAGTTTAAACAAGCACTGGGCAGTTTAAAGTTCTAATAAGCCTACAAAGAAGATGTATGCACAAACACTATATCATCACATTTATGCACTAATATAACAATTTACAAAAATAACATGAAATAAAAGCTCGAAAAATTGGAAAACAGTTGAAATACTATTGTACCAAACAGGCTACGGAACAACACTTTGTAAGAGTTAGGAGGAAGCAGCAAATACCCACTGAAAAGCTGCGGATTCAGTGTGGTGTGGATGATATTATCAGAGCAATGTAAGCCGGATAGACGGCCTGAAATGGTTGAGTGGCAAGAATGAGAGGCGGTAGAATGACTAGTGGTACTCACGCAACGCTGAAAGAATACAGGGAGATCGTCAATGCGGTGAAAAGAACCGCTTGAACGGCTCTACGGAATTATGTGGGTGAGAGAAGCAGAAAGTAAAGATGAATGGAGAAGTTGCCAGGTTCATCACTGGCGAGAAAAATGCAACAACGAAACAGTAACTGATTAAAGTACCAAGTATTGTTATTCTTTGTTCAGCAGTAATAAGGAATTTTTTGAAAAGGTAGAGTAGGAGAAGAGCTGCTAAAAATTTTTTGGAGTAAAGGACGACAAGAGTAAAAAGCTTTCTGGGAAGACAAGTCTGGGTGCCTATGATTCTTTCAGTGTTTAGACTTCATAATAACGAAATAAATTTATCACTCATAATGAACACATGAGAACACAAAGGCTGTCTGGGAAGTAGGTATGAGAATTCCATGGTAGTGATTTTACTGGGATGCTCACGAGCGCAAGGAGCAGATATTTCAGACCCTTCGATCCTCGTGATTGTGTGAAAATACCTCCAGTTTCACCAACTACTCTTCGATGCATTTGTGTCACCTTATCAAAGGCCGCCCAAGTGGTCATTTGCTATTTTTTTAACCATTCATTAATGTGCAGCGTCTACTGTTTGTCACCAAGGCAAGCAGTATGCCCTGTCCATTGAATTTTACTTTCTCGCGTGGTCGTAATGATATCCTGTATGCCGTTAATGAGGCGGAAAATCTCATTGTTTATATAGTCACAATGAGACACTTCAGGCATAGTTCGTTCATAGAAGTGTCAAAATACCTTCAAGTCCTCTCTAAAAAGGATGCCCCGTTCCTCTTATTCTTCCTTTTGTCCTAATCTCCATTCTACGACAACGTATCAGCTCAATCACTAAATAAAAATAACAAAAAAAATATGCATTTTTTAGAAGGCAGAAAGATAAGTGCGAGTGTAGCACGAAACAACACAGATTCTAGTGGCCAGCGGTCAACTGGGTTTATTTAGATGGCTTGGGCAGATACACTGCCTGGTGCTAATTGATGAGCGTTGTCCTGTTCATTGTGATTTTGCTCCCAGCTTACTGCAACCATAACCTGCCGGACCCAGTCCTTCTTCCTCTGATTTATTAACCTGTCCTCAAATCAATTACCTTCCAGTGGTCAGTCAGCACTGCCTATCAACTAATGTCTTGGCGGTTCCAAATAAGCTATTTTGATGTTTGTAAGCTGCCTGCTATCCATCATTCACATAAAATATTTATACTATCCAGACACAATGCATCTGAAGTACTATCAGGAAGAAGCAGCTTTAAAAACATCATTTTGATATGGCTTGCTTCGTCTGATCCACATTTTAGTTTTCAATGACGTTTTTTCTCTTTTTTGTAGATTCAGTTAGTTCAGTCTTTATTAGCGCCACATCCGCTCACAGAGATATATCAGTTGGCTGTATACCTCCAGTTAGTTTCCACTACTTGTGCGATGTGTGTGTACCACCGCTCCAGAACATGGGTATCGTTTACTTCCTCACGGTACCACTCAC